GGAAAAAAAATGCCGATAATAGTACAAGTAAATAAAATATTCGATTTTCATTTGACTCTTCTGAATGATGCTAAAACTGTTTGTAAACCTAGCCAATCAATATTATTCAATATCTAGAATCTAGATAATGGCGTATAAGTGTATAACTGGGTAATATTATTACTTATTAGACGTTGGTAATTCAGTTTTAAAAAACAATAAATCAAACATAATATAATATAATATACCTTACTTTATAATTTATAACATTAATGTTAAAATATTATAAAATTAAACAATAGTTATTTAGTAACATTAAATAAATCAAATTGTTAAGATAGGTACCCTATAATATAATGCTGATTTAGTTTAAGTATCTAATAATTATTTAAAATTAAAAAAGTTAGCCCCCCCCCCATATATCCACCACTGTGTGAGCGTGTAATATATCTGAGCACGTGGTCTGCAAGTTCCAGCGATGTCAGTGTATTTTTACACTAACGGTTCCAGCCAGTTTTTTTAACCCTCATAATAATCTCTACTTCCTCTAAAGATGGACTTTTTAAATTTTAAAATTAAATTAAATTTAAGTAGTATAGGACATTGTAGAAATTGAGCTCTTAATATGAGGTATGAGTTTTCAACAGTTGATAGGACAACTTCAAAGTTCTGTTACTGACTGACTGATCATAAAAATGTATAGGTACTTCCCGTATAGGTAGAAATGTGAAATTTGGAACAAAAGTACCTCAAGTCTTATAGTGTAAATAAAGGGAAAAATCTAAAAATTTTAATTTACTCAAAATTAATACCACTTTAACGAGGGTACTTCTAAATTCTAATTTCATGATGTGACATTTGACACTGTGGCGTATATCAAAATCAGGTTGTCGGTTAATGCATATTAATATTAAATATATTATTATAATTTAACTCGAGACAACGGCCACTATGCAGATACCGGCAAAGAGGAATGATATCGGATAAAAACCTAACCGTAAAAAAAGGCCAAGTCACCCTGTCATCCGAAAAATGTGCCTATCAAAGTAATTGTTATAGGTTCTAAATTGTAAGCAAGTCTACTGCTTTTTATACTTGTATATCGATACAGTTTCTCATATATGTATATATCTCCTGTGGCTTATCAGTCCATCATAACTTTTATCGTACGATCATTCTCTATTTAACTTAAAAATCAAATGGGTAATACATTATAGTTACGTAGTAACTATATATTTACATTATTTCAATGTAAGTATTGTAACACTTGTATTTATTGATATGTTTTAGTTTTTAGGGAGTAACTTTTAATTAATATATTATAATATTATATAGTTATTTATTAGGCGCCTATACTATATTATAATATATATTTTATTGTTTGCGGTTTTGTGGTATAAGTACATTACATATTATGTATAATATAAATATACCAGGCTAATAATCTGACTATTATACCTACCACCTGTATAGGCATATATAAGAATAAACGCCTCGATTAGTAAACGAAACACGTATCTACTGGCCTGTGATGTGATAGTAAGTATATTATAAAGGTATATTAGGTACATACATCAGTACATCACCATTCACCATAAACCAATTAGGTATATATGTATGTATAATAATATTATCACGCACAGCGACGAGTGACGTTTAAACTGAATAGTTCAGTGACACAACTGACACGATATTTCTATGTATAGCTATATATTTTATGACCGAGTATATACATATAAATATAATAGCATCGCTTAATGTGTATTGGCAACAGAAAATCGAAAACAACGACAGTCATTTTTTGGATGAAATAATAGTGTGCTTCATTTGCATCCCATGATTTATTATATACTGAACCAACACAACTTCAGCCAATTAGCTGCATCTATATGTCTATATAATAAATATAAGACCTATTTAAAATCATGAAGTATTATAGGCACATATGGTGCATTTTTTTATATTATGGCCAGAATAATAGAATTAATAGAATTCTACTCTCAAATATACACTAAAATTGAAATATACAGGGTATATTATATATATATATCTAATGTATATAAAAAATCAAAACTACATACATAGATGTAAAAATGAATTATTATAAAAATAAATATAAACTTTAGTACCTATAATATGGTACCCGCCGTTTTTCCCGAATCGAAATTCCCGAATGAACTTTTTCCCTAATGGTATTTTGCCCAAAAATCCCAAAACCCGAAACCTTTTTTCCCGAACGCGTTTTTCCCGACGGTTATTGTTCCCGAAATAAAAAATTTCAAAATTTAATTAATAGCATATTATTGTCGCGGCTTAGCGATAAAGATAATATTTATGAAAAAGTACATGTATCTTGCCTTAAAAGAAATCAATGCGTCAAGTCCGGAGGTATTTATTTTTTCTACATTTCCACGAATCCATTCTACTTTTATTTATTTTAAATATAAGGAAAAATTTGCCGCCTAATCCGAAAACTAACTGGACATACCAGGACCTACAATTTTTGAGGACGATTGCGCATAATATTGTTTTGTAAGTAATAATTATTGATATTGTTTATTTTATTTTTTATATGTATTTATTTTTACTATACAACATAGGTGGGTTGGCTGCTTTATACTTACTTATTATAAAATATGATCGATTTTTAAATATTTAATTATCACACTATCACTATATGTTTTAAATTATTATTACTTTTATTTTTTATATTATGTATTTATTTTTATTATACAACATAGGCGATTGGCAGTTTTATACTTACTTATTATAAATTATAAATTATAATATTATTATTCGATTCGGGTAAAAAGTGTTCGGGAAAAAAGATTTAGGGTATACTGACTTTCGGAAAAAATACCATACGGGAAAAAGTTCATTCGGGAATTTCAATTCGGGAAAAAGGCGTTCGGAAAAAAAGGTTTCGGGTTTTTGGATTTTCGGACAAAATACCATTCGGGAAAAAGTTCATTAATATCTATATAGTATGATGAATTCGATTGGAAACCTATTTTTATGGAAATATTGTGTGGGAAACATAATATGTAGATAGAACTTTATATTATACTAAATAGTAAATAATATTTTGTTGAAATCGTATTTTCTCAGCAACGTATTTTCATGAAAAATATTTTGTTAGAAATGTTTATTATTGGGTTATGGTTTACCGACAAAATACGTTTCCGACAATATACGAATATGAACTTACACTATTCTGACAAAATACGATTCCAAAATAATATCTTTCGATTGTTTACTCTCCAAACTTATAATAATTTTCCAATTAAATATTTTTCATAGGAAATACGTTTCCCAGAAAAAAACTTCTCTAACGCGAAATATGTTTCAAAACCAATACAGTACCAGATAAATACAATTCATAAACAATATTTTAAGAAGTTTATTAAATTCCAATTAATTTTATTTTCCAACTTAATAAAGCACTCTATATTATAATAAACATGTAGGAACTATTACATATCTAGGTGTTCGACGTGGTAATAACCTAAAATAGTGTTCGACTCTACATGTGGTCATGGTACTGCACCGACTGTCGATTAAGTGATAGGTTCATATACATAATATGCATATATGAATATATTATACACAATATATTGTAAGTCTAATTTCATGAACATACACACGTTGTTTTACCCTATATGGCTGTATCTATCTAATGATTTGTCACATTCTCGATCTCGAATTTTTGTTAAGCCAAGAGAAATTGCTATATCGCTATATATATAGGTACCTACTGTGGTAAATCGTAAATGTGTAACTACTGTAACAGGTAGCGTATATATTAGGATTATATACCAGCTGCCACTTAAAGCCACTAAGCAGTAACTCCAAGAACTTTTTCAGGAAACAATTAAACAGTTTTCAGTATACTAAATAAGTCCGTTGAGCTAGAATAATATTTTTAAATTAAAAAAAATACTCTCTTGTACTGACAGTAGGAAGTTATTAACATCATATGCCCACAAGAAATGTTTAGTTTAGGCACTGAACAATATGTTTAGGTATTCAACGACAAACCAATACGCGCGTGTATTATCAGATTTCAGATGTGGAGATTGATTGCACGGAATGGCCTTGTTTATATTTAAATATTAATTGAACGTTTTGTAGACATTAATTTGCATAATAACTGCCTATATCATTGTAAATCTGTTTTCAAAAAAAAGCTCCCACAAAAATGTGCTGCCACCAAAAAAGTGCAGCCCGGGGAAATTGCCCCCATGCCCCCCCTAAATACGTCACTGATGTTAGGAAATATATGGGGGACTAAGCTATGCAGCCTCAAGCCTCCCCATCATATTTACATCCATGTCGATCACACTTATAGGTTCAAACTTTTTAATTTAAATAACAATTTAAATCGAAAAATGCAGTTTACCTACTAAACTGAATAGTTTCCGAGGGGCCGACGGTGCTTACGTCTGTGTAATCGTAGCATAATATAGCTCCATCGCCCACCTGTCGTGCTTATAGCAGTCTCCGCCACCGCCTTTACGAGTCTAGTCTTCGTGCACGCTGCAATCGTCGTCGCATTGCAACTAGCCGCCACCGCCGCCGCCCGTCTCGTCGTTCCGCGGGTGACCTGCATAGAACTTATGGGTGACTTACCAACCCGGAACAGTGTGCTCTTTCAAGTACCACTCCCCGTCGTCTCGTCTGGTACTTTCGGACGAGGCGGGAGCGGGGGCCGGGATTCTGCTGGCCGTTATTCCCATCGGTGACCACAGCAGCATGGTTATAGGATATCTCGGCCAAAGAGATTACGGTGAAACTTTTTTGGCGAATGGGTATATTGGAGAATGGATGTATCGGCGAACGAATATATAGGCGAAATTACATTAAACACAAATATTTAAATATACGTAGCACAGAGTTTGTTTCTAATTTAATACGTCAATAAATTCCTAACCAACAACTATTCTCCATCACTTTTCCTATTTACTTATTGTACATATTTTGCTACACAATTTAATGCACAATTTAATTTTAAAGGGATTCCTATGAGACGGACAAGACGAACGCCAAAATGTCAACCAAAATTGTGGAATCTCTACGAAGCTGCCATACATGGACTAGCTCGTACCAATAATGGTTTGGAAGGATGGCATAATGGCTTTCAAAAGCAAATTGGTGGTCATCATGTATCAATTTGGAAGATGTTTAAAGGTCTACAAAGGGAAGTCGGTCTAGCTAAATTAAAAATGGTACACATGAGGCTGGCAAAGAAGAAAAGCAGAAATTAAAATGGAAAAGAAGTAAGAACCACAGAAAATATAAAAACGAAGGTGGAAAATTATTCAAACCAAGACATAATACCATATTTAAAAAGCTTGGCACACAATATTGACTTTTAAATTTTTAGTATTATTTTTATTACAATATTTTTTATATTTATATTATTTTTATTGACTAAATTATTGAATTAATAATGTGGACTTATACATTTTTACAAAGTAATTATTACAAGTATACACTATATATGGTCCTAGAACGTCTCTTTTTATTTAAGTATTATTTTTATTATTTATTAATTATTATTATATACTTATATATGGTCCTAGGACATCTATTTTATTTAAGTTATTATTGACTAAATTATTGAATTATATAATATGGAATTTAAATTTTTAAACTTCCGGTTAGGTTTTGTGGTTTAGCCAATATATCCATTCGCCGATATATTCGTTCGCCGAAATGGATTTAGCCGAATTGGCCGGTTACCCAGCAGCATAACAGGCGTACTCCAGCCTGTTTCGCACGCTTCCATGCCGTGGAGACGATGCTACCGAACGACGTCTGTCCACGGCGTGGAGATACGTCTGTTTTCTGCTGTGGCCCAGGAACAATAGACCTACAGTCCAGACCTCCAGGTTCCCCGCTCTCCTCCGATGTCTCGGCCTCCGGCGGATGCGCATCCCGATGTCCAGGTGCAGTTCCGCAGACACTTCCGCTTCGCCGGTAGTCAGAGGTGCAGCCCGATCCCGCATTGGTTCGGACGATGTGCAGGGCATGCAAAGATTCATCCAAAGCTACGGCAGCGCCAACCATCTCAACCACAAAGTCGTCCAGCATGTTTTTAAACGTCTTTTCGATTAAGTACCTACGTACATTTGGGGTTTCGTTGGTTGAACTCGTTCTTATTGGCGTTCGGTTTCGGATAACAATGCACGGACAAAGTCCATGACGGTCACGTAAAAGTAATCCCAAAGGATTTCGTCGTCGTACTCACGGTAAGCCATCCTGAAAACTTTGTGTGTGAAATTCGTTTGGACATCACGGAATTGCAAATAATGAACACACAATTACAATTTCGTCCTAATCTTTCAGAGAAAAATACAAATATTTCGAAGATGACGGGTGCAAAGTTGTTATTATTATAGCCAGCGGTTCTACAATATGATTTGATCGATCAGCGTTAAGATTTCGGGCTGTTTATTTTTTTTAAATCCTATATTATGGATACAGGGTGTACTGTTAGGATATCCCCATTGGCCATTAGCCGAAGAAAGGGACTCGCCACCCGGACAAAAACTGGTTTTTTACCGTTTTACGTATAAACTAAAAATATTATTAAAAATCATGAGATTGATGAAGGTAAAATGTCGAAATGTCAACTGTTAATGAACCTGTAAAACATGCATACCCATTGGTACCCTACTTAAATTACCGGCATTAACTTTTATGTACTTAAATCCATTATAGTAACAGCTTTCTCTATATTTAGCATAATATACTATCTCAAGTATCGTTTTAAAAACATTTCTATAATGTATTAAAGAGATTTCTAAAACAACAATGCATGTTGTAGGGACCTTTTAAAATAAATTCCTTCTCCGTCCTCCACCCACAAAAAAATAAATATAAATATTCATCGCATGGAGTGAACCAATAGGGGTGTCTCCTCCTATCATAATTTTGAAAAAGTGTTTATATTTAATATTTTTTAGGTACTTGTATACTTATTCCTAAACATTGATCAACATTTATTATAGGTTTATGCAGATTGTAAATTTCTCTTGTACCTATCATAATATACAATTTTATTACAAAAATGTTCAGAGAATTTATTGTTTAAATTATAATATGCATATAGGCATATTATATTTAATAGTATTATGCAGGGGCGGAACTAGGGGGGTGAAGCCGGAGATTGATCCCCGGGCGTAAAATTTTAGTGGGCGTAATTTTTCTTTAGTTCTTTATTTAATGCTTGGTGATAGAAGTTAAGAAAACATTTTTATTTCACATTATTTGTTTATGATGTTGTAGTGATGACGTTGGAATTAATGAAAAAAAAAAAAATAAAGTTAATAGTCAGATTATGAATAGATTCGTATTAGTATACTAAGTATATACTGGTATACTGGCATTAGCATACCTACTGCAAGCATATACAACTAATATACTATAATTATTAAGATTCTGAGTGAAAATGTAACTAGTAACTATACCTAGGCATTTATTGATGCTGTGTTTTCGTTAAAATTTCTGATACCTACACAACAACTATTATAAGATTATCAATCAACGTACGATACGCATATTATATCTGTATATTAAAAATGATGTTAATATATTAAAGTTTATAATATTTAAATTATATATTTACCAAGATAGTTATACATTTGTTTATGTTTAAAAAAAAAGATTTGATTTTGAATATTTACTTTTTTATTTTTTCTATTATAAATTGTTTAATTAAATACAATTTTTTACTGGCCTAAATTGTGTACCCTAATCAGAATAAAAGATTTTATATTTTAGGTACCATAAAAATCTATTATAATTGAAGGCTGAGGCGCATATAACCAAAACAGCAAAAGTGTTTACAATTTTTATACAGGATAGGTAGGTAATTAAAGTTTTGATTATTTTTCAACATTTATATATAACTAATATTATTATTATTTCTAATAATAAATACAATTAAGTAACCAATACAGTATTTCCAGTAATTAAAAATGTATCAACAATATGTTGACTAAGTTTTTAAATTTAAAGTGTTTTTGGTGTGATAGTTTATTAGTATAAACTTGGTTACACCACAGTCCACAGAATATATTAATTATTATATATTATTATGTGTTTAAAAGTTAATAAGTATGTTTGTAATTTTAGTTCCTGTTATGATAAAACAATTGTAGGGAATGATATTGTATTTTCAATCTTGGTCTATGATTGGGCTTAATTTTAATATTTTTCCCGGGCGTAAAAATTCTTAGTTCCGCCTCTGGTATTATGTACCTATATTTAACATACACCTACCTATTTTTTCAACATATTATATTATACTGAATGTGGTTTTGATGTGGTTGTTTAGTCTGTTGTATGGCTGTATCTTCCTCTCTTATACATATAACTAGACTGCTGACATAAACAATGCGCCTAAATAAATATTGAAACTATTTAAGGGTATAAAATTGTAATATAGGTATATAAAACGAATTTTAAACAATAAGGTAGGTATATTATAGCTGGTATATATACAACATATGTAAAATATACATATATTGTATGTATCTATAGATTCAGTATACTGAAGTATTTATATTTAATATAAAATATACTTCAGTAGATCTGCAGTATATTATAATAATAGTTGTTTGATAGATATAAATTTATAGATATATAATATATTTAAAGTAAAGTATAGGTACAAATGTACAATATACCTACAGGTTACACTTATATACCTAAGTAGGTATACTGTAGCTATAGGTACAAAACATAATTTCATAACGAATTCTATATTATTACCTGTAGATATGATTATATATATACCATTATTGGAGCATACCTACTTGTGTGGGGGCGATCCCCCTACCCCGTGGGCCGGCCCATAGATCATTGCTGGAAGGCGGTTGTAGTGTGGGAGGTATGAAAAATAAATTGTTTTATTACCTATGTTTGAAAAACGAACAATATAGATACTTACTATACTTATACATATACTACTAGATATCTACTAATTATGTGTATTATTATTTATATTACCCCAAACCCCGTCAAATATCCGAAAAAGTTTCCGACAAAGGTCATCAACAAATGAAAATTATCGTAATATATATGAACGTTACATAGACAATGACAATTATTATTTTATCATTTATAAGGAGGTAAAAATAAATGTAGGTACAGAAGTCCAAAATAAATGGTTCGGAAGGATAACCAAGACTGGTAGGACTAAGATTTTTATAAAATGTACATATTCTTATAAAATCGATTAAAAAATAGTTATAAGTAGGATACAAATGTGTTTGATCACTTTGATAGAATATTTTTATTTTGCATATTTTATACATCTAAACTCTAAAGTTGTATAAAATATAACATAATATGATAGGTTTTTAAGAGGCTATATATAGGTAGGTACTTATTTCAGATTTATTTAAAGCAATTTATGTGTTTTAGTTAAAATTTACATGAATTTTATATTTTTCATATCATAATTGTATAAATTATGTTTAAGGTTTAAATGTGTTATAAATTATTATATGCAACAAAAACACCGATGATGATATCTATATTATTTAGATTTCAGATTACTGGCACATATTATCTGTTTTACCATTAAATTTGTGGTGATTCGAGGTAACAGTACCTATTAATCGTCAAAATTGACGTGTGCTTATCGCAATGATATAAAATGGACCGACAAATGTGGAAATATGCCCGATGCCCATGAAAGTATTTATGCATTGACCCCATTAAGTGGCATTAACCAACGCAGTGAGTTCACAATGGCAGTATAGACGATATTTTCCTAAGTGTTACTAAATACGTGAACATCGAGACAGTCTGTTTAAGTCCAATAGTCGATTGTAGAGTCAATCCACCGCGAGTTCTTTAAGCGGCGATTACGTAAAGCGGTAACCGCATAATAGGTTTATAATGGCACGTTCGGAGCGCTACGCAGTACACGTTTTCCGACGCGTCCGCATCGGAGTCCGCGCGACAGAGCGCGCGCCTGATAAAATGGAACACACCGCGGCGAAAGAACGGCAACCCTGTAAGACGAAACACAACATGGCGGTGAGAACATGCCGCGATCTGCAGCTGCGGTCGCCGCCGCCGACAGGGTATGCCACGCACACGCACACGCACAAGCACGCAATATTAATAATAATAATATAGTCTAGTTGTTGTTGCGGCGGCGTTGGAACAGCTATTGTATATAGTCGAACTGAACAGCAGGGCCCCCACTCGTCCACCAACTGCCGCCACGTCGCATAATATAGCGATG